AAGTGATTTAAAGTGAATGTATTGCTTTCATAAAAATTTTAAAATCAAAAAACAAAATACTACGGTAAAGATCAGAAAGAACAAATATATCAGGAATATTGAGCACATCTTTGTTTTTAATAAATAAATATTTATTGAGTGCCTACTATGTGTCAAGTGCACCACACTAGATGCAAGGCATACTAACAGTAAATAAGACATGGTCCCTGCCCTCAAAGAGCTTACATTTCAACAGTCTAAAGTGCATCTCAGATAGTCAGATAACAGAAGTAATTCCACCACTCTCAATTTCTCCTTTTTTTTTTAGTGTGATAATAAGACATAGCACAACTACCAATCAATTATAAAACAGAATGTTACAGCTGAAAGAAACCTTTGGTATCATTTGTCCAGGTCTCATTTTACAGAAAACAAACTGAAGGAGTGGCATTTGCTCCTAGAACTTGTGTTTTGGTTTCAGGTTTGGTGCTTTTCCATTATCAGGCTTCTCACAAAACAACGTTCCGATTTACTTTGTAAATATCAACATTCAAACCCTGGTAGCATACCTGTACAACTGTTTCCTGCTAGAGAAGACCTTATAATTTATACCCTATTCAGTATCCGCACGCTTTTTCCCCATCCTGTTCTTTGTGATGAACCAGAGGGATCAGAATTATTCAAGTGCTGACCTCAGAGACAGCTTCACACCCTCAAGATTCAAGATGGCAAGGACTACGTGCCCAGGCCTGCCTGCCACGGCCTTACTTCCCCATACTTCTATTTTTTGCAGTTCTCCTCAACTGCTGGGAGCCACCTGTACAAGCCTTACACCTCAGGGTTTAAATGAACTCGTTTTCTGCATGCTTGATGTGGCATTTCCCAACAATGTGCCACTGCCCAGAAGGCAACCCAAGTGTAAATGGCAGAAGTACTATTTCCCTAGCTGACAAACATATCCTACTATTTCAACCACGAACATATTCTGAAGTGCCATAATGAGCCAGGCGCCATGCTGGATACTGGGGACATAAATATGAAAGTGACAGTCTCTGCTCCTCAGGAGGCACTGGAACACTTGTGGCTGAAGGAAGGTCTCCAAAAAAGACCAAATTAGAGAATCGGGGATGAGGAAGGAGAGTAAGAGTCCCACAGGTGAAGAGAAAGCTGCATTCACTGGAGCCAAGACAATGAACATAATTCATTGCCTGGAAGAGGCCAGAGGACAACCTCTAGGATGGTGAGGACCAGGAAATGAACCACTAGTGTTCCTGACACCTGAGGGGAACAATGGTATTACACCTTCTTTATCGGCACCTAATTTTTAAAATGTTGGCTGTCCCAACTTACTTAAGTGGAAACAATTCCCCCAAATTTTAGTAATTACTAAGGACTATATATTTACTTCTGTCACGTTATAGCTGATCCAGTGGTGACTGGTAGTTTGAAAAGTTCCTCTGAACATGAATTGTTTTTTAAACTTACTGCCTAGAAGTAAGCCTAATTTTTAAAAGAATGCATAACTTCTCTCTGTAGAACCAATAAGGTTTTGACTTTTAATCAATTAAGTTTATATGTCCAATTACAGGTAGATAAAAGGAATGAAAGACAGTAAAGACATCTTTTATAATGCTTCTTAAAATAGATTTTTTTATTTCCTTTAATGTCAATTTTTCTCTTTAATGTGGTGTGAATTCTATCAAACAGCGCATGGGGGAGAGGAGGGAGTAAAAAAAAAAACTGAATTCTATCAAGCATAACCATTTAGGGTTTTTTTCACTATATCATTGATCACTTCTACTTATATAGACAAATAAGTTTATAGACATTATTTTGAATGTACTGTGACTACTTTTATTAGCACAATTTTATTTGAGTGTTGTTGATGTTGGTATTTTCAGGAATATACAGTGTCGTTTATCAGTCAAGCTTCTGACACAAAAGTCTTACTTTGAGCCCTGTTCCCACTTCACTAGCAGGTGACCTTGGGCAAGCCAACCTATCAGAACCCTGGGTCCATGTCCATAAAGTGAAGACACTGTAACCTGTCCTACCTACCTCACAGGGTGCCTGTATAGGGTGCCTGTATAGGTCAACTAGGACACAAGGTCAATATACATAAAAGTTTTTTGACAACTATAAAGTACTACAAAATGACAATTACAGATAAGTCAGTGAAGTTCAACCACCAAAATAATAGTCATGCCTATAACCAAAAGCTTTTAAATGAAACAGTTTAATAAGAAGTGATCAGTTAAGCAGATTAAGACTATATTAAGCACACTATGGTCCTAGCCTACTCTATTCAGTCTAATCTTTGGAAAGACTTAATTCATTTTAAGAGAAAAAAAAATCTGAGTTAAGATATTTGTTAGTGTTTATACAAACAAGCTGCAACTACTAATTCAAAAATAGCAGGGTTTTTTCCCCAACAAGAGCGCATTCTTTAATAGGACTATATTTGAATAAGAATTCCATACAAATAGAATATATACCTTAACACAAGAAAGCAAGGAAGGAATATTTTACATTGCACAGAACATTCAGGTGATTCAATTGAGTTACCCCTCCAACCAAATGCTTATTTTTCGTATTTATTACAAACACTGCAGTCAGTTCAGTATATGCCAACAATCATATAGTTTTAACATAGTAGTGTAAAGAACACTTGACTGTTTCCAAAGTGATAGGTGACGTACCCTTAGTTTCAGAGGAGCTGAAGGGACTGAATTACTGTCTGCTTTTTAATGTTTCAACCAACCTGTAAAGAGAAAATGAACAGTTTCTTAAGATAACTTTTAAGTATAAAGCATGAACATTTATAATATAGATTATATACTGGAGGTGGATTCCAAAACACTTAAAATGATGAAGGCTAACATAGAAGAATGAGGTTATAGACTCAATTTCTGTGAGGGTCTTTTAAGCTTTGAATTTGCCTGTGCTTTGAATAGACTGCTGTTACTGCTGGGCTACATGTGGATGACTCAGGTGAAAACTAGTCTCAGTCCTCAAGGAGCTGATTATCTAATGAGTAGATGCACAAATCAATTACAAGACAGTGTAACAAGTACTATGCCACTGATCCGTGACAAGGCATCAAATTTTATGTGTGTGGTAAGGCAGTGGGAATGGAGAGACATCAGGGAAGGTTCATGGGAAGAAGAGAGCCTTAACCTAACTCCTGAAGGATAAGGAATTGCAAGGGTGAGATGAGGCAGGGAAAAGGCTAAAAACTGGCAAAGAGCTGGCTTATCTAAGTTACTGTAATCAGGTGGATGTGGCTGAAAAAGGCAGATGCACATGAAGACTGGTGGGAGAAAAGGCTGCAGGAACTTACGTGATAAGCTTAAGTAAATCTAAATTTCATCCTTAAGACTAAAGGAAAATGACATGTGGGTGTGCACAGACGTGAACATACACAAATGCACAGATGGCTTCTGGAAACGTGATACTTGCCATTCCATTGCCTCATCAAGGCCAGTGCCTTTGGTTGCTGACGTTTTGAATATTTGCCATTTTCGGTCCTTCAAGGCAGGTAACCCAAGTGAATTTGCCATCTCGGAGGGGGTCATGGCCTGTTCCATGTCCTGCTTATTTGCAAACACCACTAAAATGGCTTTTCTCAGCTCTTCTTCCTAAATAAAGTTGAATATATTTAATTTCCTGTAATCAATCTGCTTCAGTTTAAGAAGTT